AAAAAAAAAGAGAAAGAGAAGAAGAAGACAGCGGGGTGAAAGGAGGCGAGGAAGGTGAAGAAGAAGAAGAGGGTTGGCGAGGAAGAAGGGCCGGCAGGCTGCAGCCATAGCTGACCGGAGGGTTGACCAAGAGGGTTGACCGGAGGTGTTGACCGGCCGTTACCAGAGTTGACCGGGGTTGACCGGGGGTCATAGCAGCGTTGACCAAGGCGTTGACCAAGACTTTGACCAAGCTGGAGTTGGTAACATCTCGCCAAGCCTTCAGCCTATCCCTTGCCCTATGGATGTGCACACACCCCTTGGTACTTGCTGAGTCAAGTCAGTCTGTCTATTCTTTCTGCATTGAGTCTCTTTTGTCCTAGGTGAAAGTACTCTGTGGATGAAGGATAGAGCCTGCTGACCACTCCCCTACCGGATCTAGTAGGGCTGAGACTGTGGCTGATCCAACTTTCCAGGGGGGCATAACCCTCCCAAGGACCGGTGCTGACCGGCTGGAAACGGTTGGTAGGGCACAGTGGGCCTGAAAGACTGAGTTGCGGGCTGAAACACAGACAGTCTTAAGTGTTGAGGGCCTGTTGGAACCACTCCCCTACCAGACCAAGTAAGGCTGATGATCTGTGTCTGACGACTCGACTGTCCCGCGGGATACGAACCCTCCCAAGGACCGGTACAGACCGGCGGGCTGCTCGGTGTGGGACATTAGGCCGGAAAGGCTGAGTTGTGGGCTGAAAGCACAGGCAGAACCAAGCTGATCACGTCGTCCTGTCTGCGACGTTAAAGAATTCTTGCGGAGTTACTGGGGATCTCCTTAAATGCCTCCAGATCAGCCACTGATTCAGTAGTGACAGCCATAGTTAGGTCTAGGCTAGAGAGTATAGTTGGCAGGATCCCTGTCAGGATTCTGTGAGTCATTAGCTTGAGTCAGTAGGTCTGTCAGTTAGGGGTTAGGGTCTACGTGGTGACGTTTGGAACCACTAATCCGGTTGTACACCCAACACCATGGTTGAGACCCGCGGTGGGCCTAGCACTAGCCCCTACACTTAGGAGCAGCAAGAGAAGATGGCCGCCATAGTGAAGGAAAACAGAGAGAGGAAGGAGCTCCCGAAGCAAGCGAAGTTGAAGGCTATCGCAGAGGAACAGGCGGCAAAGATGAAGGAGTTAGAGGAGGAGATGGAGAAGAAGAAGAAGGCTGCTGAAGAAAAAGCGGCAACAGAAGCAGAGGAGGAGAGGAAACGAAAGGGAAAAGAAGTAGAGAGCGGTGGCACGATGAAAGAAGAAGCAGAGATGGAGAAAAAAATAAGTGAGTGGATCGCTAATTTATCGTTGGGGGAAGATGAGGAGGCAGAGTTCTACGTCCCAAAGGACGAGATGGATGCGTTGGCCAGCGAACTAGCAAAGATGGAGGACCCTCTGGAACGAAGGGAAAGAGAAGAGGAGAAGAAATTGGAATGGAAGCTATGGATGAAGAGAGAGAAGAAGAAGAGGAGGGAGGAAGTTAATAGGTTGACCACGGAAGTGGCGAAGGTGCAGGACTGTAGGCGAGAAGTGGGGGCACAGGCAGATGTTTCTGCCAAGATGGACAAGATGCTGGGTTACCTGGAAGTGTTGAGTGCAGCCTGGATGGAGGAGCGGCAGACCAGTTGGAGTCAAGAGGTAGCCCTGGGTGCCATGCGGTCGGGATTTAGGGATTTTGCGCGCGATATGGTTACCCACGTTGGAGGGGAAGTTAAGAGATTGAGAGACAGCGTGGGAAAGTTCTGCGAAGGTGTCATTGAAGGTGCCAAAGCGATAGCCGCTGTAGAGGGCGAGGCTAGACCCAGTAAAGAGCTTGTAAAGCTCATGTTTCCTGACGCATACGGGGGGAAGGAGGAAAACTTTGACGACTGGGAAGCCAGTGTCAACAGTTATATCTATTTACAGCACATCTTGAGTGAGGAGCAAGTCCTCGTGGCCTTTCAGACCCTTAAAGATGAAGCGGTTAGTTTTGCTAGGTCCCTTGCGCGCGCAACCAGTTGTGAAAACAACATGGTTGCATATTCCAGAATCACCATTCTCCCTCAATTCCTCAAGCTCCTGAAGGAGCGATTTGTAGACCCAATGAGAGGCGTTCGCGCCTCTGATAAGCTACAAACGATCCACTCGCGACAGTGGAGGAGTGCAAGAGCACTCAAGTGCACCATGGACGACTTGGTAGCCGTCCCAGACCATGGGGTCACTGAGACCCAATTGGTCCAATTATTTTATCATGCCATCCCAGAGGCCTTGCGTGGGCACTTCTTTGACAAATCTCAACAGGCCGACATCACTTATGATGCACTGAGTAGAGAGGTCGTCTTGTATGAGTCAAAGTCCATGCCAGTTACCACTTTCTGGCACAAGGACTTGGATAAGGGGAAAGTTCGTACCATCTCTGGCCAAGTCAAGGCCAAGGATCACATGATCCTCATGTTAGAGGAAGGTGGTACTAATGAGGTCCCATACAGTCAGATAGAGTGGGGTCTTGAGGATGATGATAGTAGTGTGGGGCAAGGGAGGTCCTATGTTGTTGTCGCGGCTGAAGGGAGGCCGCAAGGTAGGGGAGGAGGAGGCCGAGGACCGGGCGCACACGGGGTTGGCGGACAGGGAAACCGCCAAGTGGGAGGTAGGGGTCAAGGTCCCCCGCAAAATCGCCAGGGTAATCAGTCCCCACAGCGAAGAGGTGGAAGGGAACCTCAAGGAGGATGGCACCTAGGCTTGCCACAGGGCAGGCCCTGGGAAGACTTGGGCTTGGTTCAACATTTATGGCAGGAACGCGTGAATATGGGTCAGTGCGTGTTTTGTGGTGACCCATCTCACGTGATAAAATTTTGTCCAAGGTATAGACAGGCCCGTTGGGATGCTCAGTCGTCAAAAGGCAGTCGCCAGTAGGGATCGCAACTGCCCCTACTTTAAGGCCATGTGAAGAAGTGAGCGCGCGCGAACAGGACACTCCYAACCCACATGAGCCTATGGCAGAAGTTCTAGGCCCGTGCCTAGCTAGCTGCCCAAAGATCGCTTGTGTAAGCGTCTCTTTAGGCACGTCCCTCACAGGTGTGGCGGAAGAGTTAAAAGAGAGGATGCCTGCCTGGGCCAAAATGAAGAAAGAGAGTAAAGGATAACTGATCTTGGTGGATGTAGAGGTGTTTAGAAACAGAGTAGGGGCCCTTATAGACTCAGGGGCCACTCGTAGTTATATTAGTCGTAGGGCGCTGAAGAAGCTGAGGTTAGGACTAAAAGTCCAGAAGTTAGTAGGCCCCATAGTCAGTGTCCTCGCAGACAACCGCACGATGCGAGTTGAGGACTACGTAGAGGGAGTCCAGGCGTACTTTGCCCTAAAGAAAGATGGGAAGGTGGAGAAAGTTCTCCATTCCCTGACTCTCCTCGTACAGGATGACCTTCCTTTCGATGTAGTTTTAGGAATGGATTGGGGAGAGATAACAGGGGCCACACTCCATTTGAGAGAGCATGAGTGTAGGCTCCCTAGTCCATCAGGCGAGGTTAAGACTGCCCGCTCGTTCCATGTGTTTGGTGTAGACAACACCTTGGCACATTGTTGTCTCAGTGTTCCTGCGTTCGCGCGATTAGTAAAAAAGGAGCAGTTAGAGGAACAGGTCTTTGTAGTTTATGTTAGACCTTTCATTAAGGCCAAGAAAGAGGATAGTTCCACAGATCCAACGATTGCCAAGCTGCTGGAATAATTCAAGGATTTGACTGAGTCGCCAACAGGAGTAGTCCCGCGACCCATCCAGCACAGGATAGAGATAGAGCCTGGAAGTAGAACTCCTAAGGGTGCAGTCTACAAAATGCCCCTAGAGAGTTAGAGGAGTTGCGCAAGCAGTTAGAGGAGTTGCGCAAGCAGTTAGATGAGCTCCTAGAGAAGGGTTGGATCAGGCCCATTTCGTCTCCTTTCGGAGCACCTGTCTTGTTTGTCCCCAAGAAGGAAGGAGAGCTTCGTATGTGCATAGACTATAGGGGTTTGAATCCAATTACCGTGAAGAATGTGGAACCGCTGCCCAGGATAGACGGTCTTTTAGATCGGGTGCAGAGTTGCACGTATTTCTCTAAGATAGACTTAAAGTCCGGATACCATCAGATAGAGGTTCATCCTTATGACCAGTACAAGACTGTGTTCCAGACTAGATACGGGCATTATGAGTTTATAGTGATGCCCTTTGGACTAACCAACGCGCCAGCTACTTTTCAGTGTTGTATGAATGACATGTTTAGGCCTGTGTATACACCCGTACGTATACGGGCCGTACGTACTCCCGTACGACCATACGTACGGGCCCCCATCGACCCGTACGACCCGTACGTATGGACTTTGGACCCCACGTACGTGGCCTTCCGGGGGGATGTTGAGGGGGTGAATGCGCTGGGGGGGGGTCAGG